GTATTCCATTTCCTTTTCTCTGTCCCGCACCCAAGCATCCGAGATTGTCAATCCAAAAGCTTATTCCAAAAAAAGAAAAGGTCTTGATCTCTCTATTTTTCCCTGAATATCCATATTTGATATGGTTCTTCTGATGATTTAGACTCTTATATTTTATTTAACATGAACTTATGGAACCTTTCATCTTATGATGATTTAGACTTTTAAATGATATTTAACATGAACTTATGGAACCTTTCATCTAAGGTCTTAAAAATCGACAATCCGGGTGAAAAATTCCATTTCGAAAGCTGATTCTACAAATCCGTCTTGATCGCTTTAAGTTACTTGATTACCAATTTTTACTAAGTTTTTTTTATTTTTTATGATGATATAAACTCTAAATCATCAAACAAACATATTTTTCATGTACTTATTTAACTTTTTCTTCTTTTAATTGCACCTTCATGATTCGCCTACTTGGATCGCTTGAGTTAACCAACTAAGATGGATCCGATAGAGAGCCAATCCACACCAGCCATCTATTTCTCAAAGAAAAAAGATTATATAAGGTTGCAACATTAAATATAAAATTAAGATGCACCTCAAAAATACATGAGAGATGGCTATTTTGATGCTGAAAAATCTCTAGATAATCATCTCGACTTCAAGATATATGAATATAGCTTAAAAATAGATTTTAAATCCCAAAAATTAATGCATCTTGCAATATATTATCGAAACAGTTTATTTTCAAAAAATTTATGTATTAGAGATCTACTTAATTTATACCATTTTTAAAAAAAAATTATAAATGGGAATAAAATAGATTCATGTGCCATCCTAAGAAATCTAAACTCCAAAATTACATCTTCTATAAAAATTGGGTATTATAATGGCCGGGCCAAGCCGAGCCAAGCCTCACTGGGTAAAATTAAAGAAAAATAATATGAAAAAACTGAAAAAAAAAAAAAGACCGGGCGGGTCTGCCTTGGCCTTCGCCATGCCCAGTCCTCCAACCAGATTTTACGGCCTAGGCCCTATATTTTTAGTGCAGGGCCCACCGGCCCAGCTGGGTCACCCTACCCAATGCCAACCTACATCTCACTATGATTGTCTAAGGTTGTAACCTTATGCAAACGATATCCTTTTTTAAAACCCGGGCCTTACCCTTAATACCCGGCATGGATGGCCCCATGGTAGGTAAACTATCCTGGACTTTAAGTTTAGAGAGAGATTGAGATAGAGAGAGAAAACCAGTAACTCATACGTCAGGTGAAGGAATAAAGGAACAGTGTGGAGCAAATCGGGGACATAACGACAGAGATAGAGCACCAGAGAAAAAGAGAGGGGCCTTGGATTGTTGTTCGGGTGCAAAGCTTTAAAGGCGTTCGGTGGACGACAAAAAGTGAAAGGACGAGGCACGCTATGTAATAATTGACACTTAAACGCATTACGTTAATTTACAAAGTAGAGAGAGAGAAATAAGGTTTACTTCTTCGAGAGAGGGGGAAACGTATTGTGGAAAAGATAGGGAGTGTATATGAGGAGACTATTTAGTTACTTGTTGCACAAGGTTATCCCAATTAATTCCGATTATTGTGAAGTTAAGTGACGTATTTATTTTATTAAAAAAAATTTAAAAGTTTTTTTTTTTTTTTTTTGAATTTTACGTCTCAAACTATCTTATTTCACATCAAATGGTTATAATTAATTGTAACTATCCTATACAATTAAAGTAATTGACGTAAAAATAAAAAGAAAGGTTTCTATGCTTCCTCTGCATCATAAAAGTTCTATCTTCCCCCTACCATCCAGCCGTCCAATTTTGATCAAGAGAGTCGTTCACCGTTTGATCTTAGATCTGACGTCACAAAGTATTTTATTTTTAGTTTTTTTTATACAAATTGTATGAATATGAAACTTGCTAAATGTCATCTTCTCATTGGGATACCTCTATAAAAAAATATTAAAAATAATATTTCAATAAAATATAATTATCAAAATACTCTTTGAAACTTTTAAAAATATTTTAGTCATTTTATCTTATTGAAAATATATTTTTTCGTAAGTGCGAGTTTAATAGAGGAATGAACATCCAAAATTTGGTGTCAAAAGAGTTTATAGGAAAAATTTAAAATAAAATAAGTGTAATAACATTGTGATTAAAACAATCTTAGCCTTCCATTCAAAATCAACGGTTGGATAAAAAAAGGATAGAAGCATAAAAAGCTCGCCAAAAATAAAAGGTCAAATCTTCGAGATGGCTTTCTAAATTTCAAAATTTTGACCGGTAGAGAGACGTAAGGGAATG